AATATTGAACCTCAACTAGGCGAACTCCTCAGTCATGTAAGTTGTAAACAATAACTTTTTTCTCTCCCACGCGAAGGAAATATCTAAAATTCAAAAATGATAATTCGCCATAAAAATTTACTTTAGACTATAGAAACAATAGAGCCATTTATACGAGGAAAAATAAGACGCGTCTTACCTAAGACGCGTCTTAAATAAGACGCAAACTTTCTGTATAAACGGCACATTTCGTCTAAAATATAAAGACGCGGCTTAGCTAAGACGCGTCTTATTAGATAAGACATGCTCGTATAAATGGTACAGTTCGCGTCGTACGCGTCTTATTTTTCCTCGTATAAATGGCCCTAATATTTGCCACGAGTTTGCCTTGTCCTCAGCAACACAGGATATCAAACCCTTTTCAAGTTGAAACACGCTTTTTACCCAAGTAGGGAGGGCAAAGTACGATTTTACAATTTCTCTTGCCATGTCCTTGGCTTTCCTTTTATAAACATCCGTTTGCGTCAGGACCATGGGTCGCCAAGTATTTTTCAAGTTGTGATCACCTAAGCCAAATAGTCTTGTCACCGATTGACAGATTTTGAGGTGGGTCAAAATGCCTCCTCTCCCCACCCTAAAAGCTTTCCTTTGCAGAAAGTTTTCGTCATCCGTAACGATTGTTTATTTACTCGGCTCTTGTTTCATGCGCGCAGTATCAAGGGAATTTACAGGAACAATTCATAGATTACAGATGAGGCTTTGTCCGCGTGTTAAATAGTTGTACTTACCGTCGAACGCGCCATTTTATACTTTGACCGCCTTAACGAAGAATCTCAAACACTCTGAGGGCATATTCCAGATTGTAACAACTGTTTTCGACTCTCACTTGAAGTCGATCGCGTGAAGCCATGAATTTCGCAACCAAGATCTTCATCGTTCTGACTGTCATCTGCTTGTCTGAATTTAGTCAAGCAAGACGAGGTAAGTTAGCTCAGATTGACTTCATTTCCTCTCCTAAAATCTTAGTTAAAAGAACTTAAATATTTTGTATTTACCACGAAGGAATTTCATTGATTTTTGCCTCCGGAATTTCGGTGGGTGAATGTAATGTTACGAATCTCTGGACTTTTTCCCTCTCTCGCGTTCAACCACAACAAATACCACAATTAGGCATGTTCGTTTTATTGAATCGCTCTATTCATTGAAAAACATATGTGTATGCTGTCAATAGATTTCATGAGACGTAATTGCTGTAAACTGTAACCTTTCGAAATGGCGCGCAATGGTTTTTTTTGTGAACGTGATTTACATTATCATTAAATGAACAGCGGGCCTGAGACAAAAGGTTTGAAGTTCGTGTATTGTTAGAGTTGATCTGGCATAAATATATTCATCCTTTTATTAAGCGCAAGACCTCAGTTGTATGGGTTTTTGAATAACATCCAAAACACAAAAAAAATGAAAAATAAAAGCTTATTTTTTTGTGTGTGTGTAGGAGGAAAGCATCGCAAGAATCCGGAAAAGTCGAACACGTCAAAGCTGGATGTGCAGAATGCGGTCAATGGATCGGTAGCTATTGGGGCAGAGCATGTAAACTCAACAGTTAGTCCGTCGACCGGTCCTCGCCGTCCACAGAAGGTGAAAAGTAATGTGCTACGAAAAATGTCGCATAGGCGCCACATGGAGAAACGCTGTTGCAGAATCGGCTACCGTGCTGCAGAACGGAGGCTTTTTTGTAGAGTGGATCGACAGTACAGTTCAAAATACCGGAATATGATTCATTATGCCAGGCAAAGATTTCAATATACTGGTAAGCCGTCGCGTGGAATGCAACGCCTTATCCAGCAATTTGAACGGCACTGCCTCAAACCCCAGCTAAAGGGAGTGTTCTACAAGTGCTGTCTTGACGGAATCTACTCGGTTCTCCCGAAAGGCNCATTGATTTTTGCCTCCGGAATTTCGGTGGGTGAATGTAATGTTACGAATCTCTGGACTTTTTCCCTCTCTCGCGTTCAACCACAACAAATACCACAATTAGGCATGTTCGTTTTATTGAATCGCTCAATTCATTGAAAAACATATGTGTATGCTGTCAATAGATTTCATGAGACGTAATTGCTGTAAACTGTAACCTTTCGAAATGGCGCGCAATGGGTTTTTTTTGTGAACGTGATTTACATTATCATTAAATGAACAGCGGGCCTGAGACAAAAGGTTTGAAGTTCGTGTATTGTTAGAGTTGATCTGGCATAAATATATTCATCCTTTTATTAAGCGAAAGACCTCAGTTATATGGGTTTTGAATAACATCCAAAACACA